AAGTGTAATTAAATCCTGTGACACATTTGTGTACACTCAAACCTATGTCATCTAATAAAACAGCCTAGCAACAAACTCTACCTGTTATTAAAGTGACAATGTTTAGGTTTTTATTGAAAGTCTTTTAGATGGGCATTGATTCAACTTTAATCAGTTTAAGTCTAGTCTTTAGATTCTGCCCTCTCCTGCCCTCACTGATCTAATTGGGCAAGTATTTCTGTTACGTTGTCCACCCCGTTTCTCTCAGTGAAAAGAGGCTAAATAACAAACACCTCTATATAATACAGTACAGTTCAACAGCCTCACAAACATCATCCAACATGATGTAAGAGTTAAGGCAACACCTCTCTTAAACAGTTTTGACAAAGACTGAATATTGTAACCTTCATGAGGGTAGTGCTGTTGTGCAACTGTTGTGTTGAATTACTTTTAGCAATGTGTATTTAATAAACAGGTAGCTGAGTATATTTATTAATTGCACCACTTTCCTTGTTGAATGAGAGTGGGTATGACCCTCGCATCACATTTTAAGTAATCATTAAATATTGGTTGTGTTTACACAGTGAGTAGTTAACTGAGGTAATTTTCTGGTTCTTACAGGATACGCAGAAGTTCATCATGGTGAAAATTTTTATTGGCAATCTTGCCTGCAGTACCACACCCGAGGAGCTGCGTGAACTCTTTGAGAAGTACGGCAAAGTCTCAGAATGTGACATTGTGAAAAACTATGGTTTTGTACACATGAACTGCATGTCTGAAGCAGAGGAGGCCATTCAAAACCTCCATCAGCACCAGCTGCATGGCTGGCGCATGAACGTCGAGATGAGCAAAGGGAGGCCCAAGTCCACCACCAAGCTGCATGTCAGCAACCTGGGTGAGGGGGTCACCTGTGATGTTCTGCGGGCCAAGTTTGAAGAGTTTGGCCCAGTGGTGGAGTGTGACATAGTGAAGGACTATGCCTTTGTTCACATGGAGCGAATGGAGGATGCCATGGACGCCATCAGTAAGCTGGACAACACAGCCTTCAAAGGTGAACTCTTGGGCAGTGGAGCATTAGCTGTCTTTACTCTCTGTAGATACGAGTTTGGATTCTGTTCTGTTCCGTAGCGCTCTCGATCCTCTACCAGATATTTTTCCACATAAAGAGAAAGTGTGGATAACCTTTGCCTTCACTGACCAGGTGGACTGAAAGTAATCACTTGTAAGCTTGGCAATCTCTTAAAACCAGTGACAGTGCATCTGGTGTATAGGCACTGGCATAAAATCACCTGTACTGGCGCTGAAGGTTATTTCGCTTCGCTCAATGATTGTCGGTCAAATGCATTTAACGTGTTTTATAGTCGCTAAGAGCCTTTTCGTGTCAGAACCCCACGGTCTCATGCGTGTCTTCTCTCTCCTTACAAGGCAAGCTGATGAGCGTACAGCTGTCCACCAGTCGGCTTCGCACTGCCCCAGGAATGGGAGATCATACCGGCTGCTATGTCTGCGGGAAACATGGTCACTGGTCGAAAGACTGTCCAGTCGGTCGCAACGGTAGCCACGGTGACGGCATGAGAGGTCGCAGCGGCCGGGCCCCCCCACGCGGTCCCCCAGGTTATGGCAGGGGCAGCTACGGGATGGCCTCACCTCCAGCAGCTGATTACATGGGTGGCTCTGCGTATAGTCAGGGTAGTTATGTAGGTGGGCTGCCGCCTCCCCCTCGCAGGCCCAGTGGCTACGGTTCTGAGCTGGGGGATAGGTATGTCAGCAGAGCAGCAGCCTCCTATCCTGAGAGGCCATCAGCTTATGATCGTGACCGTCTCTATAGCAGTGTTGACTATTATGAGAAGTACAGAGCTCGCCCTTATGGCTCAAGCTATTTCGAGGATCGGCGCATGTCCTATCTCCCCCCACCCCCACCCCCTCCTTCCTCCCTTTCAAAGCTCTCCTCCAGTATAGATCCATATGACCGTCGGCCACTGCCTCCACCTTCAACGGCTGCTGCAGCTGCCGCATACTATGCACGAGACCGCAGCCCAATGAGACGAGTACCGGTCTCTGCGGCGGGCTACGCCTACGAGCGAACACGGCTGTCACCGGTGTCCTCCAGGAGCTCTTATGCCATTCCACGACCCAAGGATCATTATGCGCCACGATATGCGCCTTACTAAAAACCACGGTGCCAAGGTGAGCCACATAGTAAACAATATGACAGTTTACTTGATCTCTCGAGAGTGGGACACTTTACTGTAAACCTTTACTGCTCAGTGTGAACTGGGGTCTCGCAGATTTCTTAAAGCACTGAATACTTTGAAGCTGTGCTGCGGATGATGGGGCATTAAATCCTGTTTCTGAAAAGGGATTGCTTTACTCTCTTTCTAGGTCTGTTTGTGCATTATGGGACTTTTCCTTTGCCGTCATTTCTTCAAGCTACGTGATGCCATCGGTCTGCGCGGTGTGCGGCAAAGCATATGAAATGCGGAAGTTCGCTTTGGAAATTGTGTTGGCATCTTGGAGGCACCTGAGATGTCAGTTCCCTGCAGATGAATCATCCTTAGTCACATTTACATCTATTTTCAATAAGGATGATTAGCAAACTGCAATGTTTGACATTTATGATGTATAAAACAATACTTTTCTTACGTGCTCTGCAGGTTTTCAGCTCACTTTTTAGCCATGTCTTTTGTTTTTCTTATCTGTGTTTCTTCCTCACATGAGGCAATTGTTACTTGTTTGGCTGTTGTTTATCATTTGGAAGAAAGCTGGATTTATAGTTCTGCGTGAAGAGGCTATGCCGTGCCTACAGCGGCTACGTGCCTAGGCTCTAGGGTTACACCATAAGCTACACATCAGGGCCGTGGCGTCCTTAGAGAAACCATGGGCAGCAAGAACTGTGATTGGCTGATTGGGTTTTCCTCTACATGTTACTAATTCTTTGTAGAGCATGAAGACGACATTAAGGAAGTTAAATACTCTCATTAATTACTCTCCAAAACCCTCTGCTCCCTGGGATTGGCGCTTTGTATGAATGATTGAACATAAACACACTGATAGTAAGGCAGAAGGAGACACATTGAAATAATATTGTTACCGGGATGTAACTCTAGTTTTATAAACCATAACGCATCGTCACTCTGCATCACCAAGTTAATGAAAGAATGTAAACATGGTTACTGTGGATATGGCCCGATTATATACAAGGTGTTGAGCTTCAACTTACGTTGGGACTCCTGTTAACACTTCACGTCGACTATAAATTCAGCTTTGGTGTTCGTATTCCATTAATATATAAAGATTTATTTTTTAATTGGGATACGGGTTAACCCATGCAGTTAGCTGTATCTGTTGCTTGTAGTGCAGAGAAGCTCCTCAGCACACATCTCACCTGATGTGGGTCAGTTATATGGATGTGGATATAGATTAATGTTTGACTAATATATTTTTTAAGTATATTCAAATATATTTCATTAGTATTCCGTGAAGGTCTGTGGAGGGTGAAACACACAGTAAGCTGTCTGATGTTGGGTGGGATAGTGGACACAGTGAATCCATATCCACGTAACTGACCCGGCTTAGTGTTCAGTCAGGATTCAGAATCACTGTGAGTGATGTTGAGTGAGAGGATTCAAGGTAAGACACATAATTTCAAACATTCCAGCCTCATTTTTTCTAATTTCAACATGTTCCCAGAATATAAAAATGAATTTTATAATTGTTGAGGTATCTGCTGAATCTGTGAAGTCAAAATTCTTCAACGAAGTGTTGTTGAGTGACACCACAACAAGATTATTGGCTAACAAGCATTGTGCAACAAAACAACAACAACCCTTCAAATCTCAGATCTAAGTCTGGGATGGTTGTGTATTGTGTCCACATAACAGCAAAAGCAGATACAGAGATGTGAGGCAGGACTCAGGGCTTGGGCTGGGTAAGTCATTAGGCACTTGCTGTGTTTAAGGTGCCTTTGTTTGTTTTGCATATAGGTAGATTTGAAGTTTGTATTTTTCATACTAGCTGTAAAAGCACCAGCATACATTAAAAATCTAAAATGAATATGATTTTTAATAAAGCCAAATTTATTTTGGTCGTGACATTTTTCTGTTCTTTCTTTGAAACCTTGTTTGGTGAAGTCTTAACTTTGGCTGTAGGTGCAATGGGACTTTTCTCAACACATTTTATGCATCTTTATTTTGCCTTTGAGCACAAGGATACATTGTTTTACAACTTTATAATTTTAAGGCCTTTAACTCAATGTCGTGTTTTTCTCCCAAAAGTCACCATCTATAGAAGTGGGCAATGTGGATGACATCTAACACATTGACAGTGCATGTATTTTTTTTTTTTTTATAGATATATTGTAGTTCAGTATTTTGTGGGGAAAATCAATTGATGGAGGATTTGAAATCTACACAATTGCTGACATTAATGAAAAAGTTCACACAGTTCTACTTATGTAAGAACCAAATGGGATATTACTATGGAAAAATCTGACAAGAATTCCTATTTAAATATAGTCATATTACTGCACATTAGTGTCAACAATATTTGTCAGGATGAGCAGTTACCATCCTAATTACTTGTATGGGAAAGAAGAAAAAATATTGTGATACACATTGGGATGCATATAAATTTGTCAGACTTTTCTTTAATCTCATTCTTTACTAGTTTCTTGTGAAAATCTGAGGTATATGCAAATTTAATATATGTAAATATGTTGAATTTTCATAGATGAAACATATGAACACATAAAATAAAAACATAAAAATTAAATGAAACCTATTAGAAATTCCTACAATTTCATATATTGATATAGATGTCTAGCCCATAGCAAGGTCCAAAAGTCTGAGACCACTTTCCCAGAATGTGAAGATAGGTATATTTAAAATTAGATTTATAAGAAAAATATAAGCATGCAGATTTTTTAAAACAAAAATTGTATATGTATGATTGTTTTCATAAACAATATATATATAAAATAAATGTATACATTAAATAAATAAAAAAATAACTATATATTGTTCAAATGTATGGTCTCGACATGTTATAAACGTATATCTTCATATATGCAGAGGATGTATATACGTGATAATAATATATCCCGTTAAAGGTGACATATATGGCAACATCACTTGATATAGGGACATGTATGGCATACATTACATTTCTGTATGGGTACAATTACTCTTCACAATATATAGACCTGTGATGTCAAGTGAGATTATGACCACCAAAAGTGTATCCCAATATTCGAAATGTCCGAACCGTTCATTGCATTTTGATTATTTTCTGTCCTTTGTTTCCTTTATTCCGTCTGTCGTGTCAACAGCACTTGGCACTATAGTCCCACCCTGTGCTAACCGTGCTAACCAAGTTAGCTGTTGCTGTCTTCACCGTGGTGCCTGGTGACGAGCTTGTAATGTAACGTCAGTCGATAAAGCAGCGGTCGCCATTTCACTCTCCGAGGATCGAGACTCAGACTGCAGCTGCAAAAGGTACGAATTCATGCGCCTACAAAATGAATACAACCCAACATGTATCTTTGTTATCGAAGTGACCCAGCGCACGGTTTCTGACGTTTTCTTCAACAAATAGAGGTCTTGTGTAATGTATGGATACGCCATGCTAACTTAAAGAAATGCTATAGGTGTGCAACGTATGTAAGGCTTTTGCCTAAAAGCGTGGGGAAGCACGTAACTTAACTTTGTTACCGACTCAAACAGTCACGTTTACTTGTTCGATGACCCACAATGTTGTTAAGTCTGTTCACTGAGTTAACGTTACTTTGTGACGCTCGCTGCAGCGCTAACAACAGTGAGCTTCAGAGCCACGATGCGCTGCTTGTTACGTGAATGGAGAAAATATTCGCGCGGTGGTTATGCGACATTAATGTCTCTTTGTAAACTGGTTTCATTGTTGCTCGTGACGTAGGCCTATTGATATCAGCCGAAGATAAATAATGCAAGTCTGACGTTCTTCGCACGATACCAGCTACATATAAACAATTTAATACTGCAGCTGAGTTTTTACGTAAATTTACAGATTCTTCTATTCACTATTAAATTACGAGCCCATCACAGAGTTACCATAGGTAAATTTAAAAATGTAAGTTGAACGTTTTAGCCTAGGTAGAGCTACTTCAGGCTGTTTTGATTTGTACCGGACCTGATCTTTACACAACCATGACAAATTATAGATTGTATAGAGTCTCCAAGTCTCCTGGAGCCGGTTTCACAAAGATATCTCAGACTGGTCTGTAGTGTTATGTCGGTCTTAATTTTGGTCACCGATCAGTCTAATACAAGACAGACCGTTTCACAAAAATAAAGACTTAATCATTTTAAGCTAGAAACATTAGACACCTTACCCACAGGCTAACTCAGGCATAAGATCACTGTTACCATGGTAACAATCAATGACACCTGCGCTGACCAGCAGCTCCCAACAGCAAAAAACCGGGAAACATGGCTCATAATATGTGGTTTGCTAACATAGTTATGGAGTTTTTTAGAGACTGCAGCCATTTTTTTTCCAAATTAGATTTTCTTTTTACTGTTTCACTCTTCAAATAAAACGTCCTTGTAACTTATGAATTCTTCCAAAAGACTGGGGGAAACAGAGCTGAGAGGTTGGATGCTGTTTCTTATTTGTCCATTTGTTTTTATTATGAAGAAAGTCTTAATTTACCCAGAATTCATTGTACCACAGTCCGGTTTAAGACACTAAATTGCTTTGTGCAACAGATGGATTTAGACCTATTTAAGACACAGTCAAAGTCTGTCTGTCAAGGTCTGGCCGCTGTGTTCATCAGTGTAAAATATTTTTGGATCCTCATATCATTGCAAAAGATAAAAACTTTGGGACATATGTTCACTTGGACTCAAGGATTAACCGATTTTTAGGTTTTGATGGTCAATGGTCTTGTCTTTGTGGAACACAGCCATTAAACATTCACAGTGCTGGAAAAAGTAAGTGAATCTTTGGATTTAATAACTAATCCTTTGGCACCAGTAACTTCAAACCAGCTCTTCCAGTAGCTGCTTATCAGACCTGCTCAATCTTCAGGAGGAAGTATGGACCATTCTTCCTCATAGAGCTTCAGCTCAAAAATATTCTTAGGAGGTCTGGTGTGAGTGGCTCTATGAGGTTGGATATAACTGTCATAAGATACTCGGCTGATAATATAAGCTTTCCCTATCTGTGAAAGCAACAGACAGCAACGTTGCACATGTCATAAATGTATTGTAAGGGAAACTGCAGACTTCTATACACTATTATGTTCTGTTTACTTCTTCCTTGTTTTCCCCAAACGTTCTCAGCTACGTACAATAACCTCAATGCATGTGCGTAAAGCACTAATTAGTCTTTTCCTTGGTTTTACGTTAAGTATACATACATGTATGATATCCTGTTGTGTTAATGTCGGACACAACCACTCAAATAGTAACCCTTGAGTTGAATTGTCTTGCATTCAGTTCTGTAAAGAGTGAAGTTATTCCAAAGCTGACATGGTGTGGTACTACAAGTTCAAAATCATGAGTGCGATTATTTCAATGAAATTTGCAAGAAAGCCTTGTGAATGCATGTACATCAAGACATACATTTCTAAAATGAGAGTAATAATAATTTGAATAATTTTGAATTTTAAATGAACTTGTCAAGGTTTTAATTAAGTCTGTGGAATTGTAGTGCCAATAATATTCATTTCCTCTCTCTTCCCTTAGTGACGTGGCAGCTCCACAATGGTGAAAATATTCATCGGGAACTTGTCACCAGACACTACATCGGATGAACTTCGCTCTCTCTTCTCCCAGTATGGCAAGATTGCAGAATGTACTATTGTCAAGAACTTCGGCTTTGTGCACATGGATGACAAAGCGGAGGCAGAAGAAGCCATCTGCAACCTCCACCATTATGAGCTTAATGGCCAGCCCATGAATGTAGAATTGAGCCGTGGCAAGTCGAGAGGATCTACTAAACTACATGTTGGCAACATTGCCTGCACCAACCAGGAGCTGAGGGCTAAGTTTGAAGAGTTTGGCACTGTGTTGGAGTGTGACATAGTAAAAAACTATGCTTTTGTTCACATGGAGCGAATGGAGGATGCCATGGAGGCCATTAATCAGTTAGACAACACAGCTTTTAAAGGTGAAGTCTTGGGCTGGGCTTAATGGGGAGTTTACCTTTTAATAAATAAATGGTATCAAGAATATTTAATTCTGTTCTTGTGAATTGACAGGTAAGTTGTGGATGCACCACAGGTGAGTAAAAAGAGAAAGATGAGGGGATAACGGTAAGCTCAAGACAGTAAGGCAGCCCCCAAAACTTTATGAAAGTATTTTAAAGCTGGTATCCGTAATGTCATTGGTTATATCCATCTGTATGGTGGATTGCTGTAAAACACAGATGGGCACCTACTGCAGTTTGATTTACCCATCAGGTCACAGCTGGTCTGTTTGTGCAAGTGCAGTCAATTTAATCCTGGAAGGAAGAAACTATATCTGTATTTTTACGAATCAACCTCATCTGCATCCATTAAGGACAGGATATACACCAAAGTGAATGTGCATGCGGATATGTTTATACTTCATTTGGTTTCTGCACATGGATGTGTTCGCACATTTGACAGGTCGGTCACAAATTTTCAGCTGCATGTGCACGGCCCGCGCGAACCCTTGACAACATGGACACCTGACGAAATTTCCGTCACATGGACACAGAAATTATCATTTGAGCAGTCAGACTTAATACTTAGAGTTATTTCACGTTTAGCACTTCAAATAATAGTAATTCAAATAGCAAGCTTATTTGCAACTTTCCATGATAAATCAGACATTGGTGGTGTAGTACAGTGGAAAGAAAATGTCTGTGAATCCTTTGGAATGATTTGGTTTTCTGCCTTAATTGGTCAAAATCTGATCTGCTCTTCATCTTTCAAGGATAAGACCAACAGTGTGCATATACTGATAACAAATACTTCTAATCTTTGTTGTCTTTATGGAACACATCTATTAAAACATTGACTGTGCTGCTGGAAAACATAAGTGAACCCTTGAATTTAATAACTGGTCAATTCATTTTTGTGACTTGGATGAAGATCAGATCATATTTTAAGACAAATTTGTACATAACTGCAGAAAAAGTGTTCACTTACTTATTCTTGCCACTTTATGAACATTGCAGTTACCTTTTTTCACTGCAAGGTGTTGGAAGGTTACGGATTTCAGCTTTAATAACTGTACTTTTTAATGCTAAAATCATGGCAATGTCTTATTGCTATTTTAGAGGTATAATGCAGGTTTTTCCAGACTGATGGATTAGGAGACTTGTATGCCAGGCAGGAAATGTCAAATATATTATTTGGAATAAATGCAGGCATAAGTCCTTATTGAATCTTTTCTTTTTAAGGCAAACTGATGAGCGTGAAGCTTTCGACTAGCCGCCTGCGTACTGCGCCGGGAATGGGAGACAGATCAGGTTGTTATCGTTGCGGGCAGGAAGGCCACTGGTCCAAAGAATGCCCTCTAGACCAAAATGGCTACCACAGAAACGGCTCAGAGCCAAAGTCTGATGGATACGATGCCTCGAGATTTGGCGGGCGTGGTCGCAGCAGGGGTTATCATCCGGACTTCAGTGGCGATCCAGATTATGGTGGCGGCTATGCTCCTGTACATGTTTTTTCCCGGGGTTCTGGTCACAGCAGCGGCATGGCAGGGTACAGAAGGGGTGCAGGCTACGAAAGTGCAATGAGATACGGGCCACACCCAGGTTATGGCATAAGCGCCGTTGCTGAACATAGCATGGCTCGGATGTACGGCAGCGAGGCGGCATACAGGAGCAACGGTTCTCTCTATGGCGCGGTACCAGCCTACCCGATGCGACGGTCGCCTTACGAGGAAAGGGATCCGTACGGGGTCGTGGACTACTACGAGAAGTACAGGGCCAATTCTTACGGAGGCAGTTATTTTGAGGAACGCCGCGCTGTCCCATTGCCTGCTTCATCAACATCCTCCTCCACAGCTATAATAAGGGAACGTCTTCCCCCCTCTAGCCTTGACCCATACGAGTGCCCTCCCCTCCCTCCTCCACCAGCCCCAGTCTCCTCATACTATGCACGTGACCGGAGTCCGATTCGGAGACTACCTGCCGAGGCAGATGGATATGCATATGAGCGTTCGCGCCTTTCCCCGGTGCCCACCCTCCCAAGAAGTTCTACCTATGACCATCCGCGGGATCCCGGTGCTGAGCGGGCACGATATACATACTGATCCTTGTCCCATACAGTCAGGGGAGAGCTGACTGACATTTAGTGGATAGGATAGCCTAAGTGCCATTGGAACGTTTAAACAGTATATCTCATTGGTAATATCAGGGGCAAAAGTCAGCCCTCTGTTATGTGAGATGTGGGTAGTAAGGGTAAGGTTACTATAAAGCTTTGCCATCATAATAGCCAATGACTAGATTTCAGTGTGAATGGTTGAATGCATTCACATTATGCTGTGATCTCATTCCAGCTTATACTACAAAATGCAGTACAACTAATGCTCAGCTGATAACCTTTCATTGTCCTTTTTACATGTTGTGGTATTGGTGTAGTTCTAAGATGGCTTAGTCAGTGTGGTAGCGCCAGGGTTTCCGCCAGTGGATTTTAAGCCCAGTGGCCCGCCAGGCCAAAGTTGACCCCCTGCCATGCCTAAATATCAGGGATTTTGGGGTGGCTCGGTTGGAAACCTAGATATTATGGTGAGAGAGCTCACCAGCATTTTTTGGTTAAAATGATTCATTGAACCCCTCCCCCTGGTCTCAGGTAGATGAAGTTCAGCCAGTGAGCACCCCGTCCTCGTAATCGCTGTTACAACAAGAACAGGCACAGTTATAATGGACATCAGGCGGAACAAATCCTGGTGGGCCGCCGCATCGGTCCAAGAAATCCATAAACGTTTTATCCTATCTGCATGCTAGTCATTGAGAACCTGCTGTATGCACGCGTGCTCCGGGATTGGGCTCACTTGACTGACCTGAGTACAACCCTCCCACCCCACCTACAGGTCCCTGTAGAAGGGCCTAACAATTCCCCTGGCGGAAATCCTGAGTGCAGATACTGGGTTTATTCTACAACCTGGTTGACATCCATTCACGATACTGTGAGAACAAAAGGTTTGCCCCTCTTAAAGTAGCTATATGTTCATACACTATTTAGACTCAGTTCATAGAAACAATTAAAATAGTGCATGGTGCATGTTTTAAAGGTGAGTCCTATGATTATGTTAAGTAAACTTTAATGAATTCTTTCAAGCAGCATCTAATGTATCATTGTATGTATTTTAGTGTATTTGTGTTAATGTAAGTTTACATCATTATTAGATATGTGAAGCGACGGCAAAACAAATCTGAATACTGTATCACCTACATTAACGTGTGGACTTAAATGTCACACCTGTACCAAATATAGACTGCACAGAATAAAAGATGGTTATACTTTTGTATTTGCGTTATATGAACCCTTTTGTGAAATTATGCTTCAAAGCTTTTTATCAAGCTGCATTCATGTTTTTATTTTTATTATTATTCATTAGGCACATTACTTGTATTAAATTTATTTTCATGGCTGTGATAAATATGTGGCTTCACATCTTGACTTGTAGTTTCCTAAGAAAATGACCTCAATTGCTGTCTGTCTTTATTTCTAACTCTTAGGTTAAAATAAAATTCTGTCTAAAATCAGTCTGAAAACTGTTTGCTGTGATATAGTGGTCTGTGTCGATTTTTGGTATTAAAAATGGAAAATGAAAATGTAATTCAACATTCTAAATTTATATTTTTCATTTGTCAGATCAATGCGGACAAGTTTTAAATTTTATATTAATAGAATGTTGGATAGAAAAATGGAAAGTATAAAATTAGAAAATCAGAGCACGTTTAATTCTATTCATCCTTTGGCTTGCTTGAGAGGGCGGGATCTAAGCTTCCATCATCTGATTGACCAGTGGGATAATTAAAGAATGAAAAGTGAAAGTTTTTTTTTTTTTTTTTTTTAAACTTTATTTAAACAAGATTACATGAACGATGACCTACTCAAACATATTCATAATTGTTTTACATTTTAAAGTAAATTCACGCCTCCTTTGATATTTCAAACTGAAAAATTATTGCGGTGGTGTATATCACATTTCAAAAACAAACATACAACATATATAAGATGAAAATGAAAAGTGAAAGTACTTGTAATGCAGAAACATGGTCTCTGTCAGAAATAGTAGCGCTATATTATTTCATGTTATTTAGGAATTCTTAATAATATACTCGTTAGAACGTAGATTTATAAATCTTTATAAAAGGATCTTATATGTGCTATTTCTTAAGGATTCGTACAAACGCTGATGTTGGTTTTCAGTGTTATAGGAGCGCGTGGATGAAGGCTAGCCTGGGCGTGGCGTCCTGACGCCACATCTCTATAATGGGATTGATAGTCATATGAACCAATCAGTTTGCAGAATTTGGATAACATAAACACTTTGCCCAATAGAACGTGGCTTGTAGGGAGGGCCTTGATCTGGCCAATAGGAATGCTTTATTCTGAAGCGGATCATCCCACGTCCATGGGATCATCCTTTGTGGTTTTCTGTTAGGCGCCATTTTGATTAAAGTACTGTGGTGTTAGCGGGTAGTACTTTGTTAGCTATTTTCTCTTTTTAAACCAATTTATACCTGAGTCGACTGACAGAGATTAAGTCATTTGAGTACACCGAAAATGGCTACGGGAGCAAATGCAACTCCTTTAGGGAAGTTGCACCCCAGTATTGGCGCTAAACGAGGATTTGACGCCGGGCCTGGTGCGGGGAACGGGTTGATGCCAACACCGGGGCCGCCTGCATCTTTTGCTTCGCTACAAGGTTTCCAACCTTCGATTCCAAACGCATCTTTTCCGCAGACTCATCAGTTCAATCCAGCGTCAGGTTTTTCGACCCAGGCTCCTCAACAACCAGCCGCGGGAGCCGGACTAGCTAAACCAGGTAAGTGAACTGAATGCCCGCTAATATCACAAGCGCTCGATGCGGCACGAGTTAACGCTAGCCAGCTAATGTAGCTAACTAACATGGGTTAATGTTAAAGGCCCCACATCAAGCACTGGCCCTGCGCGAAATGGAGATAGCCCCGCTAACGTTAATTAGCAAATGAGCAGCCAACGCTAGGGTTAGGGGTAAAGGGGCTTTATGTATGCATTGACCGAGGTTAACCGCATCCAGTGATAGGCTTTGCACATACTATGTTAAACAGATCACGAACGTTGCAGACTTTGGATTATATGTAATTTTTGGATCCCAAAGCATCCATCTACAACAGCGACGTTAGCTGGCTGCTTAGCGTGTAATATTTTGTTATTGACAGATTGTAATGTCATGGCGACCTCAATCCATGTTATCTTTTCTGAATGATGAGTAAATTAGACTATCCTAGAGGCTACCTTTCGGTCGTTACTATTCCAATCTCCTTGTTTTTGCTCATAAGCGAGGTCATGTTGAGTGGCGCTTGGATTGACATTATTCCTGTAACGTAAGGCATCTGACGGTACGGCCAATATGCATAATATCCCTGTTCCTTTCAGTAGATTTCGGTCAGAAGAAACCAAGGAAGAAGAGTCGTTGGAGCAGCGAGACGCCAGATCAGAAGACGGTCATCCCGGGCATGCCCACTGTCATTCCCCCTGGATTGACCCGGGATCAAGAGAGAGCCTATATAGGTAAATGCTTAATATTCATCTCTTGTTATTGAAGGTTACCATGTTATTTATAAATGCAGTTTTGTTTTACTACGTCTCATCAATTACATCTGTTTGAAGTTCTAGTTTTCTTACATGATGCATATCAGTATTAATGTTACTGTTTGCTGAATTTCCAACAGCTAGAGCGCTCTAAAGGCACCCACAAGATGCTTTACTAACTATAAACCTTGAATCACATTTCCTATCTATTTGACAGTAACATTACTGTGTTACACAAAATGTCTAATTTTGCTCCAACTGTTGAGACAAAGCAATAATTTCTAATGAGCAATGATTATAAGTTGTTGATGTAAGGTGCTAATGAAGGTCATTTCTCTTTAATGGAGGTAAACCGGTTCTGCTTTGGCAAGTGTTTCTGTGGTCTTATGGTTTGCATACCATTGGGCACCCATTAGCAAGAGGAGTTTGAGATAGATGATTAAACACCACTGCTTGCTGGTATCTGTCCTGAGCTGCAGGTCACTGTTCACTGTCTTGCCTGACCCTTACACATCATCAGTAATGTTCCTGTGCATGGAGACGTTACTCATAATGTCCTAACATGCTATAGTATGCTTCTGTTTATACTGGTCTAAGTGTGAGCAATGCTGCTACAATGGCAAATTGATCCAACACATTTAAATCATTCAAGTTGGTCTAGTGGGCATTGCAAATTGGGAAACACTTGATCACTGTTACTGTGCTCTCAGTTTGGCCTGTTTTTTTAAAAAAAGAAAAAAAAAAAAGAAAAAAAGAATGATCATATGAAACTTTGTGTTTTGAACCACAAATGCCTTTCAGCAGCAGTGTAGCACCAACACACTGCATTCACAGGCCCTCAGCTGGGTGCTTCGAAGCAGATAAGTCCTTTTGTCAATAACTGAAGTCGTTATTGATGTTGTTCACTCATTGGTAATGGTTGTTCTTCCTTGGTATGTAAACATTCATTTGTGCCCACCCTCCCTTGTCATACTTATCATTTCCTTTGCTCATTTAGTAGATCCCCTAAAACAATCTAAGGGAAACATTTAAGATGAAATTGCTGTGGGCCACAATTCACAGGCCTTACATTCATTTCTATAATCCAGAGTAATCCTTTCAGTGATCAGTGAATCTCTGTGTTTGGGGGGTATTTCATTACAACTTTCATAATGTGCATGAGATGACTGATTGATTTTATTTTTTTTCATTGCCTTCTAAATGTAAAAATTGTTTCTCTGTCACTGCAGCCCCTCAGTGTTAGATCTGTGGAGTGTCAAGAGTGACTGTCATCACCTGTTTTGTTACTGAAACTTGCAAAACAAATAGACCAATCAGTGATTTTTAGACCCACTGTGTCCTTAAAATGCCGAAGCCTTTAAACACAATATGTTACAGTATGTGAAGCTCTGTCTTCATGGAAGAAAACAGCTTGGGATTGATATATTAATGGTGCGGCAGGCATTTTTAGGAACCATGGTCTAGTCATTTACTGACATGTTGCCATGTTTAATCATTGTCTGAGAAAAGGTTAGTCCTGTTCATGCTAATGTAAATGACCTAGAACATATTCATATTGGGTAATGTATACCTTTTGATGAAGTGAGTAAGTGCTTTCATGCTTTAGAGTCTTACTAGATGTTCATTTGATCTCCCTTTATTCTTTTATTTAACAGACTCACCATTTGTTTTTACCTTAGTAATGACTGAGACAGTGCTCTAATGTGCAGAGCGTTGTCTCTCTGATGTTGTTGTGGTAACCACATTTCTCTCCATCCTTGTTTTTCTTTCCTAACCTGAATTCTTCCAGTCCAACTGCAGATTGAAGACCTGACTCGTAAACTGCGTACAGGAGACCTGGGAATCCCTGTTAACCCTGAGGACAGGTCGGAAAAAGATTAAACCCACGAACAGTAACATTTTCTCTACATTCTTGACTTTTTGGAAGACAAATGTTGATTTTCAGTATATGTGTGGTTGTTAGCCTACATCTCAGTTTGTGTAGTAAGAAGCTGGCAGATATAGAGTTTAGTTAACTAATTGAAGGGAGGTGTTGATTTTACAGTGCTAGAGGAGAATTGATCTACATTAATATATTAATACATTTCTCAGTCTGCTAATCATTCCATCACCAGTGAGCGTACACAGTTGTACATTTACTGGCTCCGGTAGCTTTAGCAGTATTTATATTTATACAAGATACATTTTCCACACAAATCCTTTTGTAAATTTAGGATAAGTGTTTAAAATTTGTACATGATGAAAACTAATTATAAACAGTGGAGTGCATCTAATTGAAATGCCTATTTTTTTTAAATTGGACATATGCATATACACTCAGTTATCAGTTTATTAGGAACACTTTGCTAAAACTAACAGTCTAATACAACAGTCCGGCAGTGAAGAGGTTGTTAAACAGGCTGCAGTTTGTGCTGCTGTTAAATTGTATTGAATTACACAAAGCTGCTGTTTAGCTGACCCTCATTCATTTGAATGGGGTGGACAAAATAATGAGAATACCTGTCAACATAACACAATGCAACTGGACCACAAATAACAAAGATCACAAAATTGAAATAACATGTCTTTAACACAGTTTCAACACAAACTGAAAACTACAACCTTGATGAAGGTGGATTTATTGCAGGACTCTTGTGTTAGACTGACTTCGTTTTTGTAAGGGGTTCCTATTAAACTGACAACTGAGTATATTTTTACCCAAGACAGTGAAACAGTGTTTGTGATTACATTGAAATAAAATTTCACTTTATTGAATTAAAATTTTTAGCCAAAGCGCAGACTTTATATTTGACTAAATAGTTCATCAGAGAAAACAAATGTTAACAATTAAACATAATTTTGACCAGGAAACAACCTTAACTAAAGGTCTGTTTTTTTAGCTTTTTTTGAGCTTTCAATAAAATCTCATCGTCGTCTTCAGAGGGGGAAGTTTACTCAGAACAGAAGAACTACCATCTGCTGA